AGACAACAACAACAACAACAAACAACAAAAATCGGGCACCGTTTCTAAAAAAAGATCTGGACGTCCCATATTTCTGTGCGAGTCGATTCATTTGCGTGCGTGCGTGTTTGTGTGTGTGGTGGGCGGGGGGTGATGGGACCTCGATAAGATATCTCCGTGACACGGCACACAAGATGTACACTCCGAACGGTGACGTCGCCGGGTGGCAGGAGGGGAGTAGGGCGGGACCCCTCGACAACTCCTAGACACCTTTACCTGCGTCCGCTCCGGCTCGTGTTAGTCCACCCGAGAGCCTCGCCGCATGCGTCTCCGCTCACCTGCGCGCGCGAGTTTGGATTTAGGTGACCGCGTCGAAGCCTCAAGCAGCGCGGCGCTAACTTTGTGAGTCTGCGACCCCCTGTCATCGGTACCACCACCACCACCACCACGCAGTCGCCCTTCCCGTTGTCGACATACACGTACGTCGCTGTCGTGTCCGCGTATATAACGCGCAGCTGGGGCTATATGGAAGCGGAGTGGCGGCGGTGTTCGTTTGCCATGAACCCGCCGATCTGAGGTCGATTGCCGGTCACGGTTCACCGCAGTGGCGAGTGACATCTGAATCGGTCCTGGGTCCTGGGCCACCCTCCTTCAAGCAACCTTCACGATCGATACGGCATGGCGAGGCCTTCGGCCAGCAGTTGATTGACGAAGGGTCGTAGACTCCTATTCTTCTTCTTATTCTTCCTATTGTTATTGTTATCGTGAGCGCGTATAAACCTGTACTGTGCATGACTTGAACCTGCGAGACATTGGTGTCAATGGGGGACAATCTGTGTGCGAGATTTCAAGCAATCCGTGTTGTTAAATGTTCTTGATTGATGATGCGGCTGGGACCTCTTTCGGTGGATGTCAATGAAGCACCACGTACGTACGATGCGAAAGAAGTTAAACATACATACATGCATTTAATTTCGCGGTAAGTGGAAGTCGTTTACATTATTCTGCCTAAACCCCGTGAAAATAACCGCGATTTCATGGTTGACAATGTGGGCTGATGACGCAGAATTTTACATTCTTAAATACACCGCACTGTAATATAATTACCACGCTTTCAACCGGTCACGCTCGCAAGATAATCCGACGTAAATAAAACTTTAGCGTAAAGTTGTGTTCATTGCTATTAGTGACTTAGCCAGAACAAAAACTGCCTAAAGTAATCAGTCGTTTTTGTTTTGATTATTAAATAATTCTGTGGATAAATGCATGTTGGAAAGCGTTACCAAATCCATATGTACGCATGATTTATCTTACTTCTTTTTAAACACATAGTATCAAAAAAGAGCAAGGCACCAGTGTTGTAAAGTAATATAATTGTTTTTGGCACTGCTATACTTATTGTGAATGTTCTAAATGTGCTATTTAACAAGAGGAATTCAGTGAAACGTTCACGTTAGTTATAATGTTTGCTATGATTAAATGTGTAAATACAAATATGCTTATAAATGTGGCATTGCATGGTATCTAGTTCAATCCCAGATTTGTCTTGCAAAAGATGCATATATTTTCACTCTCAAAGTTTGTCTCGAAATAAATATCGAACGTGCCATAAATTAACACTCTTTCTTTACAGTAAATAAAACATGGTACTGTGCACGTCTCAGAGTGTCCACAGAGGAGACAGAGCACTTTAATTATCTCGTGTGCCAGGTGGATTGTAAGATCGTGAGAATTATTCGCATCGCCCACGGTGAGAGATGGGCGACGGTTTGAGGAGGCTTTCATCCAGCAGTGAATTGATCGTGGCTGATGATGATGAAAATGCGATACAAAAAGTTGAGTTTGTAACCATGTCTGAAGTAGAATTAAGTCATGAATGTCTCTTCCAGTAAATATCTGTAACTTTCAAATGGCTCCATGGTGTATGTACTTTACGTATATTTGTGTTCACTCTTCGCCCTATGCCATGTATATGTATATATGTATCTACTTGATATATATTCTGGCGTGGGGAGGCCCTCATCTAGCAGTGTATTGACAAAAGGGCTGTATATGTATTCTGTTATCCATATCAGATATTCTTTTGTCAGTCCGTGGTTGGATATGGCTAACTGATGAACCATTACAAGGGCAAAATTTGACCGTTTCGCATGCTGCGGACTATTTTTATGCATGTCGGCCGACACATTAAGCTGTATATTGTCGCGTAGTAGATGTTAAAACTATAGGGCATAAATCTAACGATGTTCTCGAAGGGTCCAGAAGGATTGAATGTGCCACAATTAGGCATATTACTGAGCCTATGCTTATAATTTTAAAAATATTGATAAAACACACATTTTTTAATTTTGGGTACTAACAATTTACGGCGCAGTGCTTAATTTGTCTCACTCATAGGGCAGGCTCAGCCAAAAGTTCTACATTGCTTAAATCTTGAAACAAACGTTTCCCAAGTAATTTCCATTACAAGTTTACCAAGCAGTTGCTTCTCGTGGAATGAAACGATGAAGTTGATGGAATTAGATCAAAGCCCACTTCTGACTAAATCGTTTTATATAAGTATTATATAATTTCGAATGTGAATGATAAACCGAGGGCCTGTATATGGCAGTCATGCAAATAGCTTGCTGACCTATCTATATATGTATCTATTTAGATTTTGTAACTTTGTTATCCCATGATTCAATGAAGAAGTGGCAAATCCTGTCAATGTATGACCCTCATTAAAAAGAGTCTCAAGACTCACTAAGGATCATCACCATTATTATTTCACTTGCAATTAGTGATATTTGACTTTGCATCACCGGCCGATTTGGGTTGTGCTGGAGTCTGCGTTATTTCTGTTAAAGCTAGGTTGTACACCATAATGCCATGGATGCCGCAGTAATGAGATGTTAATTACCTCGCCTGGTATACAGGAGGTCGTGGTGTTCGATTCCGACCCTGACACCTGTATATTTGGAGTTTGCATGTTCTCCACGTGGTCGCGTAATTTTTCTCTGGGTCCTCCGGTTTTTCATTACACATTTATAAACATGTGTTTTTAGTATTTGGCTACTATAAATTTCCACATAAGTCACTTCGTTGACCTATTATTTATGGCCAGGTTACTTCTGAAAAAGAGTTATATTTAGCTCAGTGGGCCTTACCTGGTAAAATAAAAAAAGAAATTGTTTAGTAAATAATAGAAAGAGAGAACCCACCGTATTTTGGACATACGGCTATGCCAAACACTTGGAGAAACTGTTGATAGTTTGGTAACGTGGACGGTAAAAAGAAACAGAGCCCACGATGGACAGATATAAAGTGTTAACAGAACGAGGAGGATAGTATACCTATGACACCGATGTTATTCGATACCAAAACCAAAAATCGCAGTGGCGTGGCTTCATCGTGATGCTCGCGAATACGGAGCAACGAGTCGAGCGACGAAACAAGGCAACGACACAGAGGGAGTCTTCGTGAGGATGAAGGGGCGAATTAATAAATTAGGCGAAAGCCAAAAATCATACGGAGCGAGTGGACAACGATAAACAAACGGCGGTTTTGGAAAATAGCGGACAAGTATCGTAGTAGAGCATAACACACATACAGTTATTCATAAAAGTATTCGAAACGTAGAAACAATTTCAAATATAGCACGCGTTAAAATACACCCTCAGAAAATACAGCGGACAGTATTGAAACAGGCTACTTAAGTGAGCACCTTACTGAATAGGCAAAAACATTACGAAGCAGCGCAGGGCAATCGACATAGGTCAACGCTATCGTGACCGTGCCGCCAAGCGCCGTGTCCTCGTGATCACGGCGACGAGCGCCGCACCGAGCTCAGAGCCAGCGAGAGTGCCCTAGGGCAGCCGATCTAGGTCCTAGGGCAGCCGACTTGGATCCTAGGGCAGCCGACTTGGATCCTAGGGCAGCCGACCTGGATCCTAGGGCAGCCGATCTAGGTCCTAGGGCAGCCGACTTGGATCCTAGGGCAGCCGATCTAGGTTCTAGGGCAGCCGACCTGGATCCTAGGGCAGCCGATCTAGGTCCTAGGGCAGCCGATCTCGGTCCTAGGGCAGCCGACTTGGATCCTAGGGCAGCCGACCTGGATCCTAGGGCAGCCGACCTGGATCCGATGGCAGCTGACCTGGATCCTAGCGCGGCCGATTTGGCTTCTAGGGAACCAGACTTGGATCAGAGGCCAATATCTGCAGTCACCTACCCAGCGAAAACAGCAAAAACAAAAAGGGTGATCCATTCATAAATACCCCCCACTGATCTATCATCGCTCTCTTGTTTCTAATGACCTCGGCGTACGCATCAAATCTCACCGGCTTCGTCGGACAAAGTGTATCAGGAGAGTTCTAAAGGATATAATAAGTGTGTTGGGATCGGTGGAGAGGCATGTAGCGACGGCTTTGACATTTCAGTTTTCATTGATTTCGGTTTCATTTATTTGGTATAACCCTGTGAGCCATGCGGCTCTTGACTCGGGTGCAACCGCAACAAACAAAAACGTGAACAAGAAAACATGTTAAAGTGACGACACACGACAGAAAAATCCAGGAAAAAAACAGCAAAGTCTTCTAGAAAAAAAAAACACCGCACTTCAACGCTGTGTGCAAAAATCCCAGTGGGATGCAAGTCAAACAACAACATGAATGGTGGTTACTCTACACCAGGGGTTCTTAATCTGAGGGTGCACGCAACCCCTGGGGGTGCGAGACGCCCTTAATGGGGGTGGGAGACGTGGACAGATTTGTTTCAGCAGGTAAATCATCGAAGCAAAAATGAAGCACGGGCACGTAAGTACAACGACTTTGTTTCATCAAGCCTAATGTATTTATTATATAACACAAATTACGATCGAAAATCAAAGAGGTGCAAAGTTGCGCAGTAAACGTTAAGCAACAACTGCTCTTTAATTCCCCCCCCCCCGTTATTTTTTTAGCGGGGTGACTGTAAAGGGATCAAACCTGACATCAGTTCGTAACGATCCTTGACGCGAACACGGCGTGTCTGGCATCCGCAAGGCAGGGGGTCAAAATGATGAAACTCACGGACGGCGCGGTGCACGTGGAAGACGCGCAGGGAGCGTTCTCCTACGGGATGAAGCTGCCCTGGGACATTAACGACCCCAAGTTGCCACAGGTTTGTTATTTCACGCTATTGGCGGACACGCGCCACAGCCACGCGGACGCACGCGTTCGGACGTTCACATCTATTCAATCATTAAAATATAGGAATGCAATGTGGATACGTGCGAGGAATGTACGCATGTAGAACATGGGAAAAGTGGCGCACTCCGCTGTGAACGCGACGGGACAATTTCGAATCCCGGGCGATGCCTCATCAGCAATTGGCACGACTCACATCAGCACTTGTCGGCTACACGTGAAGATCTATATGTCTTTGCATTTTCTATATATATGCAGTGCTTACTAAAAGCACTTGCCCCAACAGTCTGTGTTGGCTGCATGGGGATATTTGCCTACGTATGTAACGTTATACATTGCTCACTGAAATCGCTTAACCCCAACAATCTGTGCAGTCTACACAGGAGGGAATCTGTGTTTGTTTGTGTCTCTCGTCCCCTCTCTCCTCCTCCTCCTCCTCTCTCCGTGTCTCTCGGACTCTTGACTCGATGAACCCAGGACCTGAAGCAGGTGGACCCTTTCCAGGAGTGGAACGACGGATACGCGCGCTTCGTGTTCAGCGCCGAGGATAAAAACGCGCAGCGCCACCTGAGCGGCTGGGCCATGCGCAACACCAACAACCACAATTGCGCCATCCTCAAGAAGTCGTGCCTGGGCGTGGTGGCGTGCGGCCGGGCCTGCACCATGCCGGACGGCCGCAAGGTGCACCTGAGGCCGGCCATCTGCGACAAGGCTCGCCAGAAGCAGCAGAGTACGTGCGCGCAAAGGATTCGTTCCCTCTCGGTGGTTGCCGTGATCGTGATCTATGCAGTGATTACAGCATTACCCCCCCCCCCCCCCCCATCGCTCACCCCCCCCCCATCACTCACCCCCCCACTCCCTTAGGTTTCTGGCAAAGAAGTCACATTTAGGTCTTGAGAATCCTTCATTATATGTATTTGGTACACTCGAAGACCTCGTCCGATCACATTCTGGCCCTTATAAGGGCCCTTTTTGTCGGTATTTAGCTGTACTGATCACATCTGGTTTGAATCTAATGACGTTTATTTCGCTTTAAAACGGAGGCTTTCGCGACAAATATCATCCATAATAGAGTTATTTTTAGTTAGATCGCGTAAATACATAAATGTGTCGTTGAAACCCGCCCACCACCCGACCCAGCCAACTAGTAAGGGTTGTCACATAAACAGAACATGCCAATTCGTCACTAGTACAGCACACCGCTGTGTTGGAGAGCCAAGCCACAACATTTACAACCTGAGTACGACGTTTCGCCAGTAATTACAACTAGCTTCATCAGGCGACAGCCAGATTTGTGGAGAAGTCTTACTGTTTCGTTCCTTATATAGAGGCGTAGATGTGGTGACCACCCTACTGTGCTCTTGCACAATGTGTAGTGGGGGGGGGGGTTACTGAGTCAACGTACATTACGCATGTGCATTACGCGAGCCCTTTGAACTTGTCCTTCCTATCTATTCTGATGATTAAAATATCCCTACCAACGGTAATCCCTATTGAAGTACGCTGCCCTTTGTAGGCATGCATTTAAACAATGTATTATTTGTTGATTCGCTTCCACGCAGCACTAAGATGGTCGCTATCCGAACGGTTAAAGTTCTTTTGATTTCTTTCAATTTCGATAGATTATCTAATTAGTTTTGGCCAGTAGTAGCTAGTTTTTCACAGTTTAATTCGCCCAGATGACGGTATTAGTTGTATTATTGGGTCTTTCGGTAAAGGCACGTAGATAGGATCAAAGAAAATAACAAACCAAAAACTACGACGTTCCGATCGCAACACAAGCCAATCGTCATCAGGACAAAAAATAGCAGAAAAGCTGCTGAAGCAGGATGTTTTAAAGGTTTGAAATGGTTGTAGCCCAGGGGTCATAAGCGAAGTGGGCGGGGCTAGTGATGTTAAAGTGAGAAATTTGCATGTCAAGGTAAGGTCGGAGAGCCACCTCCACGATAATGAGGATGCGGCGGTGGCCATTGTATTATGAGAGATTAGCATGTCAATGTAAGCTCCCAGAGCCACTGCCACATCGAGCAAAACGAACAACGGTGACTATTTTAGTGAGACATTTAACCTGTTAATGTAAAACCAGAGAGTCGAAAATAACTACTAACATCGGAAGGTAGGATGGAAACATCACAGCCAGCTATGACTTAAACTGGTTATTAACGTCCTTCCAATGATTGCTCAGTTTGTACCCATCTTCTCGGTTGAAATTGTGTCTGTGTCTATGTCTATATATATGAATGGCTTCATGAACAAATCTTTGTTGATAGCCAGTGGGCTTGCAAAGTACCTTCATCTTAGAGAAATAAATTTCGTGTGAGCCCACCGCATTAAAACAATGATCAGCCACGACCCAGATATTGGTCCTGATTCAGATCTGCCTTGTGTTCATGAACACGGTCCGAGACATGTCGCTTATTTTCCTCAATGTAACTACTGCCGCAGACAGAGCTTAGTTTGTAGACGCCGGGGTATTGCATGAAAACACGTAACAGGTGGCCCGTGAAAAGGTTATCATCTCCCACCCTCCACTATGAATACATTTCCATACGCAATAATAGAACCAAACAGTCGTAATTCACCTTTTATTATTTTACTAGATGAAGGCCACCCCCCCGCAAATCCACCAAACTATTTAACGGTGGAATTTACAACACTGCATCTAGCACCTGAACACGAGCTGATTGTATCGCTCCATCTCCACGATAGACGTCGTCTTGAGCAGTGCTCCCTTATTTGGCTGCCACTCCGTTGTTAATCTCGACCACTGGCCATCATTCATACTAAACGAGAAACTAAACTATGTTTTTTATTTGACCAGGTAAGGCCCGCTTAAGCGATACCTTACAGCACTTTTTCAGAAACGACCTGGCCACAAATGATTGCTGAATTAAGTGGCTTAGTGTATGGACATTCATAGCAGCCAAATACTCTAAATGCATGTTTCTAAATGTGGAGGGGAAAAAACCGGAGGACCTGGAGAAAAATCCATGCGACCACGAGATCGAACCGACGACCTCCTGCATACCAGGCGAGGTAGTTAACATCTCGCCACCGTTGCTCAAGTGACGTGTCATGGCAAACACCACTTACTCTCCGTAACAGTCAATAAGATGTCTCTATCCATGTGTTCCTCGTTCTGTCTTTCGATCTATACACATATCAGTGTGTAGCCTCCTATATGCGCCTCTACACGTTTAACAATCTCCTTTAAGTAAAGTCACGTAGAATGAGAATAAAATAATAAATTGATAAAATAAAATAACACAATAATATTCTCACGACGTTTCGGCCACAACACAAGCGGCCTTCATCAGGTGAAGGGGGCGAGACTGTCTGGTAGGACAGCACAGTGTTGTGGCCGAAACGTCGTGAGAATATTATTGTTATTTTATTTTATCAATTTATTATTTTATTCTCATTCTACGTGACTTTACCGAAAGAACCAAAGAAGATGAATCATTGCAGTCACGAAAGCTTTAAATCGAAATCTCCTTTAAGTCATGTATTAAGTGGTGAGCCAGCTGGCCAGAATAGCAAACCCTGAACTGTTCTCGACTTTGAGGCTCGTCAGCAGGGTGCGAAAACATTTACGACTTTTACGTTGACCAACATTAGTTCATATTTGTGGGTTTGACACGTGACACTTTAGGCACTTAATGTAATTAATCCCTCATTGGTCCATACATATACCGACTTTATATATTTGGCACTTTGAGAAGAAATGCGTTATTGCTGTGGTTGTTTTTTTTGCATTACAGCGCAGCGCCCTTGGCCGCTTTTTCTTTGTGTTCAATGGATTATTATTCTTTATAATTTATGTATGTGTAAGCTCACTTTGAGATGTTATTCATTTTGTGTTTTGTTTTTGCAAAGTGTAACATCACTATCGTATACCTGAGTTTAAATTGGTTTATTTCGGGTTAGACTGTGTAAAACTGTGTCGTACACCCTGCTCCTCCAAACGTCTGTTAAGGCTATACGCGGGGGATCTTTGTCCTCCACCTCGACACAGCCAATTAATAAAAATGTCACGTGAATCAAAGTGCCTAATTTATTATATAGTCAGCGCATTACCAATGTGTTGGAGAGTAATCTCACAACATTTAAGTGGGTACAACGTACTATATACATATACAAATATATTTTTACAAAAAACAATCAATTATCCCAACGGCGAATGTTATCATTCAAAATGGGAACATTGTACAATTTGTTGTATTAATCCAACATCCCACTTCAAGTCGCTGCATGCTATTGTTTGATAAACTTACAAAAGGTGCTCTCAAGCACCATTGAATATTTCTGTATCCAAATTTGCAAATCAGGAGCTATTGAGTCGGCGTGAGTCTCTGCAAGTGAGATGTGCATGTTGTAAACCAATGTAGTCTGCGCTCCTTCAACGGAGGAATAGCAAGACGACACGAACTCTTTCTGATGATGACCGATCGTCGTCGCTTGCAGACCTCCACATTGGCGTTTAGCTCCAGAACATATCGCCACACGCTTGAATATCATAGTGCGATATGCAATCACAATGCACATATTGTATTTGTTTTATTTAGTATCATGCAGAGAACAGTGTAAGTTGTGATCATTTGTGGTCATTTAGCCCATTGTAGATGCTGCTCACATCATGCACTTCCAGACGGCCGTGTGCGGCTGATGGGTTGCGTAATAATTTGTTTTACGTTTCATGAATGGCGACGTGCTGTCTGCCTATTCATTGTTCTAATGCACATGGCAATGCTTTCACCTTCAAAACCATTGTTTGTAATAACGATGACGATCCTTGGGGTGGAACAGTGATGAACACACTGCGCTATAATACCTGGGGTCGATCCACCGGTCACATCTATAACGTCCGTGACAAAGTAAATATCCGAATACAATTATTGACACCCCCCCCCCTCCCTCCCTTTCGCCACCCCGCAACTGGGCAGCGTGGTGACGTATGGCCAAGCAACTCTCACAACCGACGCGGGGTTGAGAGGCCTTCATCCAGCAGTGGATTGACGTAGGGCTGTGAATTATGTGTTTTAATCAAGGTCCCTTGCACACACGCAATGTGAACTCGTGAACTTGACACGGATAACGCATTGTCCTAACGCTGCGTGGGACTGACGCGTGGGCTGGGTTGTTGGAGACGAAACGCGCGTTCAATTTAGATTACAAAACCGGTTGGGTAAAACAAAACAGGAGAGCAGTATTGTGTTCTTGATGCAGACTTTACGTAAGCGTTTGGTGAGAGCGCACTCTGTAATGCTGCTCTTTTTGGCCACCGTGTTGTCAAATTGCGGGTGAGAAGACATTTTCGCAGCGTTTGTGTTGAGACGTGTCTATCGATGTAGCTTGGCAGGACTTTATTTGCCACTCCACATATCCTGGGACGCTACTAGGGCTGGGCTTGCAGAAGGGATTATCAGCATCAGGCGCTACCACTAAAAGACAAGGTTCGCCTATTAATAATAATACTACATTATTGTACTCTATAGTTCTCTATTCTTATGAACAGATTTATTAAAAACCTGTTCATGAGATGGCTGTGGCTGGGTGCCAAAAATAATTCCCGAAACAGGGCTCCAGACTGCTAAGGGATAAAATTCGGCACTGGAGGATAGTTATTCCTTGAATCTAGAACAGATATCGGTGACTGCAGAGGGAAAACACAAACGTACAGTCATTTCACTTCCAGTCCTTTGTCAATGCACTCCTGGATAAAGGTCCTCCCCACGCTGTGTCAGTCTTGGGTGATTGTTTTTTTACCATACTTCACCACACTGGTCAGTCAGTGCAGGTTGATGAAGAGGTGCCCAGCATCAGTTCAGATATTACTCGCCACTGATGTTCATCGTGAGTGGGAATCAAACTCAGGTGGCCAGGTTTATGCTATTGTGTGCTAACCACTGCTCCAACCTAGGTTTATATCTACTGTCTGAGCGAAGTTACTACATACAACATTATTGTATCGCTTACATTAGCTTATATTGTATTGCATTGTACAAGTTCATGAATAATATTTATCTGTAACTTTTAAAAAAGTAGATCCAATATCAATTTTGACAACGTATTATTATCCTAAATAGTATGTATTAAAAAGGATACCCTAATAAGCTATGATTATTTAAAGTTTTGTGTATATATACTACATATACATGTATGCCTGTTAGAATAAAAAAGATTTGACACGTTAAGTTATAACATAACCACTGAACGCAGAGTTGCTCATATTTTAACCGGTTTTGTATTCAAAACACATTTTCTGTGGGATATTAACACATACTGTGGTGTATAAATATGTACACGTGTTTAGTTAGCCCACATTTTATATTCATCTCTATCTCAGGTTCATTGTTTTAGACGTAAAGGAAACCCGTGCATATATTACAAAAAACGTTTCTATAATCTCCGTGTAAAACTCACCTCCACTGAGACTCACATGAAAATTTAACTGCTTTGCCTTTGAAATGGAAAATCATTTGCACACATACAAATAAAGATCTCTCGTATAGGCGTTAACAAGATACTGTTGGTCGCAAGTGCTATTAGGGAGCACCTATTAATTCATAAAACTAAACTACGCACTCGGAGATGGTATTGCCAGCAGAAGGGCATCTGAAAGCGTGCAATGCAGTGATCATCTTTGTTCAATGGTTAGCCAAAAAACGACTGCGAAGATGACCGGAGTTCGCATGATGGTTTATGCTCCTTGACGAGATGAGCAAGATGTTTTGTTTATTTGTGTGACTTTGTGTGTAATGAGCGCAACCTCATCATGTATTCACTCAGCAACCAGAAGCCAAATGCAGCTCAGTGAGCACCGGACAGGCATGGTTGGATCTTGACGTACCCGTCACGACACGTGCCAAAGAATGTCGTACACAACTGCAGCTTGCTCGTGTTTTTTTGCCAGACGTGCCATCGAGAAATGAGTTGCAGCGATCGAGTCTTGTCCATGCTATGCTGCACGCCACCATGATGGCTATGTCACGACTCAATAGCGGCCGAATGTGTCGTAGAGCCCTGATATGAAAATTGCATGACCTGACTATATTATTCACGTGGTGATGAAAACGACATATTCTGGTCGAGTGTGGTGCCGAGGCGCTTTAGATGAGTAGACAACAGAATCCTGGAGTCTGCGACCGCCACACCCCGGTCCTACTACAATTGTATTCGCCTGAGACAGTGTCAACCAGCAGAACCTCCGATGTTCCTGGATGAAGCAGCATTTCGTTTCGTGCAAACCGCACAAGCACCGCTCGCTTGCAAACCTTCGAGGTTACCGAGGCTCTCCGTATCTAACCTTGACTTCACTACCGTGTACAATTGCGCATCATCAGCATGTTGATGGAACTTTATGCCATGCGATGAGATGAGATGACATCGGCGATCGGAGGAGAGGCGTATGTTGAAAATAGGAAGGGCCCGAGGACTGATCCCAGTGGTATGCCAACTTGGCATGGCATAGGCGATGACTGTTTGTCACCCAGCTTGACGAACTGTGATCGACACACTCTTGCTGACACACACGTATGTTGTCCGTACATGTGAATCGGTCGCCTCTTATGAAAAAAGACATCCATAGGGGTTGGAACGTGCCATGCCTTTCCTTGTCAAAATGGCACCAGTGATCTAAATGCACTCTTGTGTAATTGTGATTTTTTTGTTTTTACAAAATCAAAACATACAGTATATGTAGTGGTGGGTTCTATGGAAGATATGTTTAGATATGGAAGCGTTATTTTATTGTTTTTTTTTATCAAGCAATAATATCAGACCTATGCTATTCATGGTGGGGGAACGGTGGTGCAAGTGGTTAGCGCACTGCCCTGTGAACCAGGAATCCTGAATTTGGTTGCCAGTCACAGCTGACATAAGTGGCGAGGGATGGCTCAACTGATAATTTTCATGCTCCTCTGACGCCCTTTGCTAACCCACACTGACCAGCGTTGGTGAAGTATGGTTAACCAGTCCCTGTGACTGACACAATGTGGAGGCCTTCTGCCAATAATGGATTGACAAAGGGCTGTATATTAAAATCCATATCATTATATTTTAAACCAGTTATTTTGGTGGCAATTAACCTTTCCGTTGAAGCTGATTTGTATTCAAAATACATACGACCACTGTTTCTGTATAACACCTTGAGATGCGGTCTGCATTTAGACAATATATAAATTCGCATGGTGTATTGTAGGCTAGTCTAATGATCTCTCATCTAAACACATAGGTCTCTATGTAAGCCCGCGGGGAGGTCTCTGCGTGAGTCTATGGGCATCGCATTGCGTTGTGCGTGCTTTTGTTTCGTTCAGAGAAGCTGTGCCCCAACTGCGGCTCGCCGCTGGACCTGTTGCCGTGCCGGGGCCACAGCGGCTATCCCGTGACCAACTTCTGGAGGCACGAGGGACGATTCATATTCTTCCAGGTGCGGCACGGGGCGGCGTCGTAATGATGATCGTTATAGCATTGACATCTGACGGCCGATAGACAATCGGCAGTCAAAACGCGAAATTACAATGCTGTAAGAGATATATTATGCCCGAATGTATGTATGTATAACTTATTTCACACTGCACGTATCCAACCATGCTAATCGGAAGTGCGGGAGAATAAGAAAAACTCAACATAAAAATCAGTTCCAAAGAAATCAGTTTTCAATTTAGATTTGAAAGTGCATAGCTCCAGTGGCTCCCTAATATTAAAAGGAAGAACGTTCCAGACGGGCGCAGAAGCGCATCTGAAAGTGCGCGATGCAGTGACCATCTCTGTTCATTGGTTAGCTAAAAACCACTGTGAGGATGACCAGAGTTTGCCTGATGGTTTAAGCTCCTTGACGAGATCAGCAGGGTAGTGTGGTTCATATGTAGTGCCACAATTCTAATGATCATTAGCAGCTCTCAACCCGAAGATCTTGGTTCAATTCCCGGCCACGTGGGGAATGATATTTAAAAGTGCCTCCATGAAAATTGTGGGGCCCAAAATTTAGTTGTGTTAAAATCAGAATCAGAATATTTTATTTTTTATTTTTGAGGGATCCAATGAGCTATAACGCTCCTTTTCACAGATGTCCAGTAGCGGCGGATCATAAAATAAAGTGTTACAAATAATTACATGTTATCCAATCATCCCTGGTGAATTTTGTAAGATTCATCATCCTTGGTGTTTTAAGAACCCTGCATTTACACTCCTTCATTGTCATCAAATTAATTCCTCGTGCATACACCAAATGCAATGCTTTAGTCATCATTATTATCCTCAGTGAATTCGCATAAAAGACTGTTCTTTTACACATTATCACTATCATCTTCATGCCTGTTATATTCAAGATGCCAATAATCATCACGTATGATAAATTCACAAAAATACTATTGCCACAATCATAATCAACATCATTGATTCTAAGTTTGCCCTTGTAGACACCATCGTCAGGCTTGTCAAATTCGGTAGCAACCACGGTTCTTACGTACACGATCGCCACAATTTTCACGATCACAATCACCACCACCACCACCATCATCCCCGGTGAATTCACTCAGCATCCTTCTCTAGTTCTGCGTCAGAATTGCCGCGCGTACGTCCGTCTGGCGTAAGGACGCGTCCCGCGGTCACAGTAAAAAAAAAACATTTTTGGACGTTGCAGGCCAAGGGCTCGCATGACCACCCGCGGCCTGAGAGCAAGACAGAGGCGGAGGCCCGCAGAAGCTCCAGCAAGCGGCGCCTGGGGCTGGCGGGTGGCTGCGTGCAGAGATCCAAACGGGGCGCAGCGCCAGAGGTGAGCCCTGGCTCCTGGAGATTGGTCGCCTCGCGCTGGAACTCCCCTTGCCCCAGCCGTCCATGCTGTCGACTCCCTGCCAATACTCAAGTACAGGCTCAAGACGTGCATTTGTATCCGATGCGTATGAATGGCTGTCTCGTTCTCTGCATGTGGAATGCACGTGCCGATTGTGCCTGTACAGAATCTTGAGCTGCAGTTGTATTTTGACAGTACGTAAATCCAAGTTGTAATTGTACGTGTGTGTATGGGTCTTCTGTGTATATGTATGGATCTCTGTGTAAGTCTGTGTTGCTCTATAAGTATCTCGAGGACTTTGCTGCCTCTTTCTCTGTATAACATAAATATCCCCTCGTTGGTCATGTACAGCGTCTTGAGATGCAGTCACATGTAGAAGCCCTGTAAATACATGTTGTATTGTTATTGCATTCGCGATTCTGTAGCCATGAAATACATATACGGTGGGCAGATTTCACCCACACTCTTGGGGAGTTGGCAGACAGCGAGACAGAGGGTTGCATCATAAGTGTATTATGGCATGCTGAAGGAATTTACCACAAAGGCCACTCCTGCATCTGAACAGTATCCGAGTTGGGGTCAAATAAATGTCTCTGTATGATCAACTTTGATTGACAGGTATTTGTGTTCGCAGAAATGAGAGTTGGCATTGACTTGCACAGTGTGAGCACCACTTTGTCCGTTGTCATTGTTGAAAAGAGCAGAGCACTGAATATTGTGCAGCTGTTTTTTTTATACACTACGTGTCGATTTGTTAAGAGGCCACCAGTGGTTATCCTACGTACAGACTCATTTCTGCCAGAGGAATGTGGAACTTCTACCGTCATTTAAAATGACATCCGTGCGGCATCTTGAAATGCGGTCACACTCAGGCGCTGCAAACGCAAACTGTAATTGGAGCACACATTGACTCATTGACACGCAAATTGCCTCCGCTTTACCCCTCGCAGGTCGTTTGGTACTCCAACATCAACGGCTACAACCCGATGCCCTCCATGTCGTCCGTGGGCATGGAGGCCCGGCAGGCGCTCGACCCCAGAATCAGCTCCGTGTGGAGCTCCAAGCAGCCGCCCCTTATCCCGCAACCGCGTTGCGAGCCCTCCGTTGGCGGCGGCAGCGGCTTCCACGTCCCCAGGATGCCCAATGAACGCTTCTACTTCCCGGCGCCGGCATGCAGCTACGAGCTTGCCATCCCCAACTATCTGTCGCACTCCTCCCCGTACCCGGCGGCCCTCCTGGGCGACCACAGGGACTACAAGCCCGAGCAGAGCCTCGTCAAGGCCGGCGACGCTTACGCGCACGCGTACGACGGAGCCCGCTTCGCCATGGGCCACTTCGGCCAGGACGGCGTGCACGAGCACGTGGCCCAGCCGCCCAAGGAGACGCGGCACCAGAGCTACAAGCAGCCGAAGAGCAACGGGAAGTCCGAGTACGGGGAGAAGTACGAGGGGGGAGACGCCGCCGCCGCCGTCAATAGCGGTGGCGGCGGCAGGGCGCTCTCCTACAGGGACGCGTCGAGGCACAGGGACGTCGGCTGTGTGGCGGCGAGCAGTGGCGACACGCCCGCCCTCCAGACCATCATCACCACGACCACCAAAGTGTCCTACCAGGCGGCCTTCAAAGCCAACGCCGTGAAGTGCGCCGAAGCGCCGTTCGAGCAGAGAGCCGTGGAAAGCGGCTCGTACCCCGCGGCTGGCGCTCACTCCTCGGGCTACTCTGATCGCATTCTCCCCACGGACAACCCGTACCTGCTCGCCAATAAGTACGCGAGTCCCTACCAGCAGGTGTACTCGTCGCCCCGCAAGGTGGTCTCCGCTGAAGCCGGGGAGGAGTACGGCCCGCTGAGTGGCGCGTACAATGACCGGCTGTGCCTCAACTTGCATTCCTGCAGATACGACAATCTGGGCTGCTAGGGTTAATCGTGAGATGTGCCATCCCCAGAGCATTGTGGGTGGTGGAGGGGAAGGGGTGCTGAAGGGGATTGAGCTTCCCCCCGTTGAAGGTTCAGCCTCCCGTGATTCCGTTTAACATTAAAATGTTCTTGAACTTTGTTTAGCAAAGATCGTGCCGTGTCCCCCTTTAGACAAAGGTCACACTAGGGGCTTGTGTGTGGCGCGGTTGTTAACGGGCTGTCGGGCTACGAACCCGGCGGCGAGATGAGAATAAAAATATTAACAATTCGGAAAAGTGAAAGTTGAGTTTGTGTTCCACTGCCACGTTTTATTATTCGATAGAAAATGTGGAGAAAATATAGAAATGGTCATTTTCTTTTGGGGGGATATTTTCAAACTGTCTTTTTGTTGTTTTTTGCTTCCATTAATTTAATGTGTACATAATATATATTTTTTTCACAACAAAGATGAAAGATCGTGACTGTTGAACAAAAATGTGTAACGAAATCCATGACGATAACACGTATTTTCTTCATTGAATAATATATAGTGGATTAATATTTGCAAGACTGCATGAAATTAATATGAGCCATGGATGGTCAACACATTAAAGTACTTCTAATTCTCTAAACACAGTAAAGTACAGTCGTGACATTTACTGTAATAGGCTTACTGTGAAACCTCCAATTGCACCGATAGCCAAAAGTCAGGGTTTCGTGTTTAGAGCTCTTGTATTCAAAGTGCCGCGGAAAGTGTGGACCTATACAAAGCGGTTGAGGTCATGTACTCCCAATGTCAACAGACACTTGTGTCGATATGCATATGCATGTGGTATATACACAAGGAATGTTGTAGTTGCCAACAAAAGGGGATGCACCTGAAGTCTTAACACTGCCTGCAATTGGAAAATGTTGGGATACTTTAAACGTAGCATGCAGTTTTTACTAAATATGTTAAATTATCATTGACGGCGATGGAATATTAAAAGTACATTTCCTAAAACCGGATATGGGTAGCGCAATGGCGCAGTGTTTATCGCACTCCACTGTGAACCTAGCGAACATGAGTTTGATTCCCAGCCACGGCTAAACAAAGTGGGGCCTGATTTCCAAACCCGGTTCTGGGGCCCTCTCATCACCAACCCACACTGACGAGCATGGTGAAGTGTGGCATGATATCCGTTGCTATGTTTTTTTTATACGTTCAAACATCGCCAACATCATGGAATAAACGTATTGAATATATCCTCAATTGTCAAAAACGTATTGAATGACTTCACGAATGCAGCCATATTTATCGTCAACATATTACGTAACTTTCAAGAATTTTGATCTATTTGTTGCACATTAAAATAACTAATAAATGATATGTTTCCATTTAATGTGTCCTCGATCATTATTAAACATATAATGTATTGGTTGTTTTAATATGTGCAACAAACGTAATATTTGGAAATCTTGAAAACTATTCAACATGTTCAGGATGTATAAAAACTTAAGGGCATATTCATTAAGTTAAGTGATTTAATACGTCGCCGATAATTGAGGTTACATTAAATGTTTTCTTGGGTATCTTGTCGATTTAACATACATTACAAATCAAACAAATATCATGCCATAATGAAGTCCGGTCAAAGATTCCATAACGCACACGGTATGGGGAGGCTCTCATCGACCAGCTTATTGACCGGAAGTTTACTTTTCTAAAATGTTGTCACAACCAATTTATACCAGATGTACCGCGTGACATGCACATTAGATTGTCTGAAAGAAAAAAAACAGGTTTCGCAGATATATTCTACTGCTTCACAAGTCCGATGTATTCACGTTAAATCGATAAGTTATTACGTAATAACGGAAATGTTGAAATGGTACAGAATGTTGCGCCCTCAGGCAGGGATGTGCGCACTTCATCCTTCAAAACGTCGTCCACAAGCATGCTTGAAAATATAATCTGTGCAACCCAAAAAAAACCCAACAACGCTTAATACTGTACGTTGTCTCAGTCACACACTCGCATCGCAAGTTAGGTCACGGAACAAGGGGTACGATGTGCCAACATCCACTGGTGCCGTTCGTTGTCGCGGGCGAGTTTAGCTTCGTCTTTCTTTGACACGATCGCTAAATCATGCCCTGACCCAAGTGTGGAAATGTCTCGCAGAAATTCCAAATTAAAACATGACAATTTCTTCCTATTATTAAACCCGTATTCTTGTAATCTTCAATCGTTTACTTGCGGATCGTGTACTATTTACTGGTAGCTTTGATATTCAGAATAAATCTTAAGTCACAATGGATTTCCGACATTTTACAGATCACGCGTCGTGGGCATTTCAATCTCTTCCAGGAAGCCTGACCAGCATGGAAGAGTAGGCCAAATACCATCTAAAGGAGCTGTCTAGAGCTCCCTCCAGTGGAGGCCTCGTCTGCCAGCAGGCGTGTGAGCAAGCAATTCCAGGGCTGTGCCTTTAGCTTTTACACGGGGCTCATTGTGTTCGATGGGGCTCACTTTGCTTGTTAATAAGTCATTGGGCATGAGTATTTTATATATTAAAAAAATGTAAACAAAAATGGGAAGAAACAATTAAGTAGAGTTATTGTTGTATTAAAATTATTAATTGAGATGTTAACAGTGTCATCGTGTTTTGCACTGGTATTATGTGACCCAGAAAACCCCAAAACTGTGACTTTTGTTCTTCATGAGATGTGTCTTAAAACGTGCTTGCTTGACATTATCGACAATTTTCCAGCTTGTAAAACAAAATATGCTTTAAAATGTATGCTATATACTTTGAAGGTGGGAAAACAAGCAATAATCATGCTCAACGTTCATACGTATCCGTATGTTGTCTATAAATATTATATCAACCCATGTAGCGTTAGCATCGGAGAGCAGTTCATTATTTTTTACACGGACATGGCTGCCGACTTAGGCGAACGTAATCGGGCTTCCTCTTAACACTAAGATGTGGGGTTTCTTTTGTAGAAGTGGCATTTCTCTCCGCGCATTGCTGTTTTGCTATTAAAAACGTGTCAAACAAACAAGCGTAGGACACTTTTTTTGGTGTGTGTGACCTCTTTTCATTATTATTATGATTATTATGATTATTATTTGGACGACCTGGCAGTGAGAGAACGGACATGCGGTTTGACACACGTCTGCCGCCACAGCCCAGAGCACGCTGTCTGAGACGCACGCGGAACGGACGCCGCGACGAGGAACCGGCTAGTCTAAACAACACATATTCTCCTGTACACTCCGCTGAACCCCAACCTTATATCTAAGTATATCGGGTTCCCCCCCCCCCCCGTCTTTGATGTTACACATTTTTTTTTTGTGCAGAATCGCACTTCGCCAACGCTTGCGACCGAAGCATTGGTCTCTAGCGGAGCTCGTAAATAAGGAGCTAACGCAGGGTCGCGTTGGCTTGCTCGTGAGCAAACGGGATGGCGTGCTGTTGTTGTACAAAACCCAATTAAGGCTGGCGACTTGCAACGAACACAGGTGGCTGGTCACACCTCCCGCTGACTGACACCAAGAGCACAGAATACAAACAGTCCAGCGTTAGCAACCTCAATGCAATTTGCTCCGGCCTTTTGGTGAAGCTCAGCCTCTGCCAAAAGCGCATTTTTTTTGTTCCGCGGCTGACCTGTCAGCGCCTGTATGGTGTAAGTATCCTACTTCAGTGCAGTTTGCAAGACCGTGTGCAATTCCTGTGGCAGTTATCATTGTAAACTATCTCCGGTGCCCAGTGTGTGCTGTCATACATGCATGGGTGCAAGCGCTGGTCATGAACCTTTGCCCCGGCCAGGCGCTTGCACCTTTACGCACCTTTGCCTGGTATTCAATTCACGCTGCGAGCCCATGCACCCCAGTTATTCACAATAATGTGAACAGAGGGGAGGCAGTGATGCGCTACACTATGAACCTGGTGACCTGAGTTTGATTCCCGACCGCAGCTAGCATCAGTGGTGAATGACATCCGAAGCAGTACTGGGTCCGCACCCCGTTCACTGAATCGCGATCAGCGGCATGGTGATGTATGGTCAGACAAACCCCTATGACCGACCTGGCCTTCATCCAGCAGTGGATTGATAAGGGGCTGTAATTTTTTTTATTTCACTCTTTATATTTTGTTTTGTTTGAAACAATAGTATTCATCTGTATTTTATACCACCAGTGTTTTTTTTTTTATAATTTATGAACTATGTTTTCATGCATATTTTCTTTTCTGCCATTAACGTTTTATTGATAGTCTGTTAGAGGAAGCTAAGGATTTTCTTTTGGATGTTCCTGTGCTACCTTCGCCGGGAATTCTTGCCGAAACCAAAACATCATTTTTCAACAACAGTTTCCCCCAGCACCCGTATGCACACATGACATGGCCAGGCATCGCCCACACTGGCGATAAATACTTTCGTGCACTTCAAACGGACCTCACATCCACCGACCGACCGACCGACCCCTCGCTTGCTCGCTCGTCTCACTGCAAAGCCAAGCCGTGAACACACTCGCAGACGTCACACGTTATTCAACTTCACAACGCGACGCACAGAACGACCACGGCTGCAGCGTTTACTAATCACAATCAGCTATGTTGCGGCAACATGAATCGTGGGCTTCTTGTATTGTGCCCGATTGTCACAACGGTCCGCGCGTGGCGTGCGTACACCACACACACACATATGTGTCTCTCTTTGACATATATGTGTGTGTGTATGTTTCGGGGATGTCCAGCGTTTATCGTTGCCAAAGCGCACGGAGAAAACGTCGGACGTCTGTGCCAAAGCAACACGCGGCACAAGCCGAAAACGCACCGGAGAGCCATGAGGCGCGATCGCGACAACCCCTCGGGCTGATAGCGATGGTGTAAGAAACGAGAAAAAAAGTTAAGGGCGATCGTGCATTGATTTTTTGTTGTTGTTGCTGCAGCCACCCCATCTTTCTGTGATAAAAAAAGATGGGGCTTCTTTAATCTTTCGCTGCTTGTAACATTCATCAGAGAATCTTCGCCGCAGACACAGTGTAATCTCAAAACAAAAGGGGCCGATATCGTCTCTTTGACAGCAGCTCTTTGTGTCCTGGCAAGAGCTGTTTGATTGATAGGCTGTAAGAGGTAACGTCTGGGTAACCCCTGTGTCCCGTGTCTTCTAAGCGTTATTTGGTGATAAGCAATCTGCTAAACTGATATTAAATGCTGGTTGCATAGATCACAGCTATGATCCACGCTTTGGAGATTCCCTTTCTCTCTCACACTACTTTTTGGCTACTAAAGACGTACATTATTTTAGATTAAAAGGATGGGGTTTTTTTTTCAGCAGACTGGAGAGGTGGCCTAATTGATGTTGTTAGTCGGGATAGCATCCTGACAAGGCACGTGTAGCATTGAAAAGTGCGATCTGAATTAGTGTAATCAACGTGTTACTAACTACGGAGGATGAGGCCATCACAATAATTGCCTCTTGGCCACAAAGCAAATACTTTAGTTATAATATGAAGACGTTAATCGCTAAATAAAGCTTCAACTCATTCTCAAGACTGCATTCAAGAGTTTATTCGTGGGGATGTTTTCCATAACGATAACGAGAGTATGGTATTGACGGAATTTTTTTCAGTATTTCACAAATTAGTACCTAAGAGAGAATCTTCCAATGTTTTTTTGTGAAACCTTTATGCACTTGTGAAAAATAGGAAAGTACTGCACATATGCATCACTTTAGTAATTCACTCCTGAATGAGTATCTTCATATCAGGCAGTGCATGGGGGTTATTTTACTATACTTCACCACGCTAGTCAGCTCGAGTTGATGAAGGTAGGTATCACAATACCAGAATGGATTCCATTGCGTTTTCCTAGACTGCCAACCACAGCAGCCTATATCATCAACCTGCTGTGCACGATGGGTATTAATCCAAGCTCTTTCCAGACTCAACCCTGCATGGCTTCCTAGATGTGACTAATATATGCACAACATACATAATAATAGAGGTGTTACTGATTCACCATCAACGACAGGAGCATTTTTTTTCACTTCCCACAAAACTGGGAGCTGTCTGGCTGCCCCTAGGCATCTCTAATTCCACGTTGAACGCAAGCTTTAATTCTGGTCGAGCCAAAACGCAAACAAGTGGAAGATCACAGGCTCTGCAGGCAGGCAAGCAGCTACCTCCCCAGAATCATGATAGCATCTCGCCCGAGGGCATCACTGAATCCCGTCTGTCATCGAGCCCCTAGAGTGTGTGCCATTCACCGCACGTACTCCAACGCTGGCACCTGCCCCGTTGGCACTTGCCAACCGCTACGGGAAGTGCCCAAGATAGGCCCAACGGTGTAAAGTGCAGACTCCGACTCTTATCCACTCGATCCACAACAGTTCTCTGCCCAGAATGCAATGTGCCAGTAACACTTTATAATTTGACTTTGCGCGAATGTTGAACTTCTTTCGCACCGCACGTAGCAACGCGTGCTAAGTGGAGGTGCGGAGGAAGGTCAACAAATTAACTTTCAATGGCAATGAGTATATTTAGGAATACATTTTTGATTATTGAAGGGTGTTTTACTCTGTAGCTACTCAGAGGTAACTATTCAAAAGTCAATAAAAAACTGGTCGTCAAGAAACCTTTTTTATTGAAATCTCATCAGGCGCCATAGTGTACAGTGCAGTATCCAACCCTTATCCACGCGCTCTCTATCCTCGCTATTAATGTGTAATGAAGAAGGGCCACTTCCCAAAACGTTGCCTATCATATACGTTTCCTCTTTAAGGCAGTGCTATTGATCAGTGTGTTCAGATTTGTTGATATCGGCGCTTGCTCACCACTTTCAACGCAGCATTACCAAATGCAACAAATGCTTATTTTCCTGCAATTACCTCCAAATAACTACTGGGAATTGATAGTGAATTCTTGCTGTGGTATCATAGAAAAATAAAGCCTCTGGGATAGCATTCGCAAATTTAACTTATCGTGTGGCAACCACAGCCCAAATTTCAACTATAACAATTGCCCATCACTTAACTTCTGAACATATTTTTTTTTTAAATAACCATGCTTAACAGGTGCAGGACCCTCCTGATAGTAGACTCCTGAGACTCCGAGAGGCTTTCCTGGGTAAATTAGCAACATTATTTTATAGGAAGTGTGATAGCATGGTCGGCATTTGGCACAGGTGGAATAAAATCGGGGCCACTTCCTGTCCATTTCCCCATCCATTCGTAGCCCGGAACCTGGGCCTTTCCAGGCCATATGCCTCGGTGCAGTTGTCCCGCCTGCACACCGGACAGCTCCAACACTGGGAACAGGTCTCAATTGAATAATAGCTCATGGGTCTCATTTCACATTCACCTACTTAAAAAAAAACTAAATCTGCATTTCCCCCATTTGTTTGGTCGCATTGTAAATGTGATCTGCTGCAAGCGAGTGTCCATGATTTGTGGGGTAGATGACACCAAGTCACGGTTTATGTTGTGAGCATGAGCACCACCCCCCCCCCCCGCTAATGTGCTTCCTATGCAGCCTACCAGCAGCATCGCGGAAGCTGTCAGAATCGTCATCTTAAACATATGCATATCCCACACAGCTTCCGGAGCTGAAACAAAAAAAGTGAATGCTTTTAGAGTGGCAGATGATGTTACATCTCAACGCTGTGTGTGTGGGGGGGTCTACATCTTAGCCAAAAATAAAACTAAAAAGAGAGTGAGAGCATGGGGGTCACGGTCACATTTGAGGACGTTATGTAGTCGTAGGAATCTTCTCTAGAAACGTAGTCCATTGAATAAGATGGGCAAGTGAATGAAAATATATATTAATCACTCTGATATGTGTATTGTAAACAGCGGGGTAGTGCAGGAGCACAGTGGTCATATATACTGTAAGCACTGCACTCTAAGCCCAGTGTCCTGGGTTTGATGTCTAGCTACACCCAACATCAACCAGTGCTGGGCACCCCTATCGCGCAAACCCGCACTGACCAGCGGAGTGAAGTACGGTCAAACAATCCCCCATGACCGACGTGGCATGTGGAGGCTTTCATGCAGCAGTCGATTGATTGTCGGCTGTACATTATTTTTGTAAACAGTGTGTGCATTTTGGCACCGCATATGACACGAGGAGTGTGTTTTCAGGCCTTATTGTATACCGTGTCTCCTTATCAACTACTCCCACTATGTGCGTTGATAAATGCTCAATCAAATCTGTAAATGACGAGAGAAAAAAATCACCATAATAGAAAAAAAACGGTCCACGGTTGTTAATCATCACTGCATCACTGCTGCTGTCAGCCGGTCACATTTTCTCACGTTTTCATAGAGA